TTTGCTAGCTTTGCTAGCTTTGCTAGTTTTGCTAGCTTTGCTAGTTGTGTTAGCTTCGCTAGTTTTGCTAGCTTCGCTAACTTCGCTAGTTTTGCTATCTTCACTAGTTTTGCTAGCTTCGCTAGTTTCACTAGTTTCGGTAGTTTCGCTAGTTTCACTAGCAAAGAAATAATCTAGCCCAGTTCTACCATAAATTTCTGGTCCACCAGATAAAGTAGCCGATCTGCATACATGTCTACCTTTATACATTATTACCGGCAGTGGAAATCTTGAACGACATCTGGCAAATCTAGCATTTTTCATCAATTCCTTCAGTTTATTTATGTTTTCCTGTTTATTTCTTATATCTTCTTCTGTGCATAGTGGTGATGGTGGGACATCAATAACATTTGAGTCCCTATATTTGTCGATTTTCTCCTTCTCTAAAATGATAAGATGGCTAGGATAGTGTGCACAGAGATCACCTGTAGTGTTACATATGATAGAATATTTATAATCTACATCAATGAGACTCAGACATTTTTGGATGATATCTTGACTCTAGAAACAAAAAAAAAAATATTTAAAGTTCTAAAGGTAAAGATTAATCCATAGGAATGATCAAATAAAAAAAAAAATTACCATACTGTCTGCTTCTTTGGCTCTATAAGTGTTTTTCGAGAAGTATATGATAAGTTGTTGTAATTCTGGAATCATAATTCGTGCTGGCATCACTGGAGACATGATTTCACAGAATGTGGTATCCAAAATTTTAAATAAAAACACAATTTTTCTTTTCTAAGGTGATCCTAAGTTTCTATAATTTTCTTAAGGATGCTTGTAAATCATTAACCAATGTCTTGCACGTGAGAGAAATGGCGCAAATACTGTATTTAAAATATACCACATCACAATTTATAGGTATTTTTTCTATTTGTCATGATTTCTCCTTAAGTTTAAAGGACATCACTTTCAATGTAAACATAATAAGATTCCGAGGTCTACAAGAGCATTATTTCAGTTATAAAATACATGAAAAATTTTAGCTCCAAAATATGTTGGAGATTTTATTTATTATAAAACAAAATGTTGTTTATAAAATAAACTCATGCCGATCTCAGAAAAGTAAAAAGTAATAAAATTACAAAAGAAAGCATGAATCTTCACGTCAAAAAACGTTTTAATGTTTGTATTATTTTTTTGTAATTATTTTCAAATAAATATTGTTAAATAAATAATATACAGTTGCACCTTATATATTAACAGTACTATTATTTCTCTTTTTTTTGGAAAATTAAATTTACAGTCTTTAGATCAAACAGAAACATATATATATATATTTTTTTTTTTTCTTTGACACGCGTATCATAACAAATAAAATAGTCTTAAATTTATAAAATGTCGTTTAACAAGCTTTACTTTTCATATACAAATTAAAGTAATGGAGAAAATTCAGTAACATCTCAATCATTAGTATTTGAACATCATATGCTGCATCTTATTTGTTTCCGCAAATTCAGCACATTTACACTTGATAGTTTCACTCTTCTATTGTTTCCTTTTATAATTATTATTTTTTTCTTCTTCCTCTTCCTCTTCTTCTACATCTTCAACCGTTAAATTCAAATTTCGAACCCGTTGTGCCGCAAAAATTTTTCCCCTTTTTATTTGATGACACAGCGGAAACCAAACAGAGGTGGTCTGTTCCGTTTACAAAAAGAATCGTTAAGCAGAAATTTGAGCAACAATAATCGTAACAATGGATATAGAGAACGCTTTCGTTAGAGCGACTTAACCTTCAAATCGTGCACGCTGCCTTCATTGTAACGAACACGTTTCATCAATTGTCTGGACAAAATCCATAAAAAAGAAAATAAACATCCATCCAAATGGTAGTTCGAACGTGAAAACAAAAAGTCTGTCACGGGTAATATCCATGGTATCTCATCGTCTTCCGATCTTAATGGGGATTCGACGAGATAACCTAAACATCACACCCGAGAAAATATGTTTCACGTTACACGCGTTGACTTGAATCTGTCCTGAGTACACTATCATCCTTTTCCGTTTTGTTTGTTACGTTCTCTCGGTTGTACACCGAAAAATCTGTTATCTTCTTCTCTTACCGTTCACGCGTCGCATTTAAAAATAGTTATTAAAAAGACAAGAGAGCGTGCCTCTCTTCCTCTTTGCCTGTCGATCTGGCTACAACGTAGCGCAGTACGTCGACCTTGATTTCTTGTCCTTTCACCCACGCGGTAATAAACACGGGAAAAATAATCTCGGATTTTATGTGAAACGACAATGTCACTTTTTCTTCGTACGATACACCAGCAGTGTGAAAACTAGCTGTCTGGCGGGCCGAAAGCACGAGGCGAAGGCGTAGAAAGATAACCTATTTCAGCAATGCGGAGAACGCGTGCTTTTACTCCACTGCTATTGCCACTTTTATGCTTATAAAATTTGATCGCTACCAATGAATACAAAGTATGGAATTCTTTTTTACCAGAAAAATTAGAGTAAAAAACATAATAGCAAGAAATATATAATGAGAGTAGGCTTTTATTCAATAATATTTTGTAAAACTTTCGGAAATATAAGTTTATAATATTTTTATGAATGTTATGAAACAAGTTTGAAAGTTAATAAAGCAAAACATAGTATGACATAAGTTCTTTTAGACGTTGGTATTTCCTCAATCTCAAATATCATAGTTCTTTTAGTTTTCAATATTTGTTAATTTCAGGAATTCAAGAAACCGAGGAATTCAGTTTATTACACATTCATTTATGCAAATAGTTTCAGGAAGACCTCGAGTTCTAGCATCTAATCATCAATGTGAAATTGAGTTCATTCGTACTGTATAAAAATTTGTACAAAATTTGTAAATTATATTGAATTAACATAAATTTTCGTTTTCTTTTTCTGATTCTGACTATTCAAAAGTTTCGAAAGTCAGTATTCGAAAAATGATTCACGTTGCATTTAAATTCGTATGAATATAAACATTTTCATCGTATGTATTGATTTTGAATCTGAAATATCGTTATATCGTTTCATATTATTTCTCGTCAAGCGAAGAAAAAAGTGTAAATATGAAATATCTACATAAAAACGTAACTGAGAACTCTCTGTTTATACTCGACAATCGACAGGTTATATATGATTAAATTTTCAAATTTTAAACTTCTGGGACAATTTCTCTGCGAATTGTATCATACTGATCCTTCAGTATTTAAATAATTCTCTCTCAGATTATTGCCATCAAGATGCCTTCAGATTATTTGAAACACAGAACCTAATAAATTCAGAAATCATAGGTTCAGCGCTAGGCAAAATTTTATTGTACATATCGAATAAGAATTCATCCAAATAGGAAGTTAATCGAATGTTTCATTCCTATAATAATAAATAGGAATTCGTTCCTAGAATGATATTAACTCGTCTCACTATTCGAGATCAATTTGAATTTATAACATTCCCAATTCCGCCGTCAGATGTCAGACGCATCGATTCCTGTCAATCCTTGCGATGAACACGCGACGCGGTGAGGGCACTCCGGTTCCAGCGGCGTGCGTGTGCGCATGCGCGGCCGTTCGAGCGACAACACTGGACAAACGATCTGGCGGAATTGAAACGCAGGAACGATCGTGAATCAGGACTGGCACTCGGCTGAGAGGTGGCAATAGACGCAAGATGGCGAGTACGCGGTAAAACAGTGTGTCGCGCCGCGGTTGATCGTTCGTCGACTTTTTTTTTTTCTCGAGGAACAGAGCGTCTATCCTGCGTGATATTCACGTTGGTTATGGGGACGGGGGCGTTGCTTGGCGTGGCGCGTGTTGATAGTGGACGCGCGTGCCATTCGTGATCGTCGTTGGTTTATCTTATCGTTGGGGAACGTTGGCGGAGCAGCAGTACCGAACGAGTTGCAGGACGAAAACGTGTGTGCGCGGCTCAGTGAAAGTAAACAAACGGTAATGAGTGCGGTACTGGGAAGTGTCGGTGACCCGGCCGGTCTCCTGGACCCCGACGTCGAGAGCATTCTCGAGGAGAAGAATCAGTTGATCAGCCGGCAATATGCGGAGATCGAGAGGCTGCAGCGTGAACTCTCGGAAGTGATCGGCGAGCGTGACGCCCTGCTATGCGAGGTGTCAAAATTCAAGTTCGAGCGCGAGATGACCGATCTCACACGTCTATTGGATGATAGGTATGTCCTCTTCGAATTCGTTCTTTTCAATTTATTTGTATTTGTTCTTTCGATTTGCTCGATTTACGGAACGCGATTTATGCCCGTGTAACGCGAAAAACGCTGTTTTAGAATGTGCGTGTTGTAAATCCATAGATTCTGATAGACAGATCGTTGAAGCAACACTTAGCTCTCAATTCGTTTTGCTGACCGAGTGTAATCGGTCCATTGAACGCAGAAAAATTGCGATAAAGCTCATAGATATACATAGGTGAGTCATAGAAATATTCGTATCTTTCTAATCGTTAACTTCGAGTAATTAGTATCTTTTATATCTCGAAATGTTTATCGATCGAAAACGACACGTATTACTGCTATAAAAGTAATAACACATCAGGTATATTATATTATAGATCAGAAATGTAAAATACCGTTTGAAATCATACGAAGAATATACGCGATCGAGATTGATGCAATGACGTCTAGGTTTTGTAGCGGAAAAATATTGACGCCGGTTACGTTGGACAGGCATGTACATAGGTGAAGGTTTCGTAGTTATAATTCAGCGGGCAAAAGCATTCGCGTATCAGCGGAACGTGGAAACGCAGTGGCGTTATAAATAATGGAATCAGCGGCTCTCTTTGCTTTTCGTTTACTATCTTTTCTCGCGATACTTATCGACACTTGAAATTAACGCCTCCGCGCGTACGCGAATTATTTATTGAACGCTGAAACACATTTAAACGCATCAACTTTATTTCGTTGTAGCATTATGCGCCATTTTGTTATATATGATACCATTAATTAAAGACATAGATTCCCATTAAGTTTCTTTTCTCATTCATAATTTTGATGAATCATTAATCGTCGATAATTTTCAAATTATTATTTTACATCACAGCAAACGTAACATTCTTAGAATCTATGAATTATTTGCTGAAATTTGTTGTCCCTTCAGAAATGTTATGTTATTAATAATCATTCGTAATATTTTAATTATTATTAAAATTATGTTATTAACAATCATTGGTAATATTTTAATTATCATTTCACATGACAATAATGCAACGTTGCAGAATCTATGAGTTATTTAGTGTTAAGAAGAAACGGAAAAGTTCGTTAAGAGAGGTTATGTTCAGATTTTAGATTGTCGATATTTTTTAAAATATATAATAATATAATAAACTGAACAAAATTCGTTAAGAGAGGTTATGTTCAGATTTTAAATTGTCGATATTTTTTAAAATATATAATAATATAATAAACTGAACAAAATTCTTTTCAAATTAGTATACTATACTAAAAACTTGATTGCATTGCAAGATTGTTTGCGATCGGCTATCGTAAATCGTAATCGATATTACGCGAACGATATGACGCTGCAATCGACGAATGTTTTTCTTTCAAATGAAATTTCGAATTACGATTACGTTCCATCTAAATAATCGATAACTCTCGATAACCTTACATTCGATATATTCAAAAGTTCGAAATTCTCGACAACAATCGATAAATAATCGATAACTCTCGATAACCTTACATTCGTATGTTCAAAAGTTTCGAAATTCTCTGGATTCTTGATATTCGCGATATTGATATTCTGTTTTTATTTGGCCGCGTCTGGTATTTTCGTAAACGAAATAAACGATGCTGACGGGAATTCTCTATCAAGATAAGTTCATAATCATCGGTGTTGTTTATCGGTTCTCGTGCAACGCGTTATGGTTTCGTTACACGCGTTCGCACATGTAAAATATGCGATAATATGAATGAGGAGAACTTTCCTCGCCTGTGGAAGTGGCTGTGCCAATATCGAGCACAGGATGAAAATTAACAGGATGGAAATTGTTTGAGGAAGCTTGTCCCGTTCGTTGCTTCACCGGCTTTCGTGCGATTTTTACATATTTTGACATAATCAAATTAACAAAAGTTGCATCGTCGCGTTAATTTCTGCCGATGCAATGTTGCGCATTATTAATTTTCCTTGTTATCTTGTCGCAATTTGTACATCACGTAATTACGCGTTTAAAAGAGAGGAAGTTTCACGTTTCAACAATGTGGAATGTACACGCTCCGATAATAATAATAGATAGCTTTTAACATTATACAGTTGAAATATTGTCCTGAGATTGTGACAAAAGATTCTATTCAAAATGCGGATCAGAGTGATAAACCCACTTGCACAAATTTCCCAATTAACAATTACTAAAATGAAAACTGAAATTTTAACACTTCTAATTCTACATCTACGTGCTCCAATTAATTTTTCTTTTTTTTCTTTTTCTTTTGAAATCGAAAATTGAATGTTTCCAATTTCGTGAACTCTTTTTCTGCTATGCTCATTAAAATATATTCATTAAAAAGATGTGGAATTACGAGAGGGAAAGTAAGAACAGCTGCGACGTTTATAGTCGTTTGATAAAACCGGCAACGTTATCTAAAAAAGTTGCGATAAAAGAAGAAGCTTTTCAAGATTTTTTTGGCTTGGTTTATTTTTACGGATAGGGCAATTAACCTTGATGCGGCCGCAATTTTATTGATTATCGCGAAGCAAACAGAGAAAACCGTCTCTCATATTACATTGTTATTCCGCGATGAAATTGGGTCGATCGTGAAGTCGCTCCGCGTTTTATCTAAAGTGACTCGGAAGTCAAACATGATCGATGCTCCGTAATACGCATCGGGAAATTTAACTGTACATTTCGCGATTCTCTCGCGGCACGATCGATTTCGTACGAGATTTTTTTCTTTC